GACATATGCTAGCATTTGCCATATATATATACTATACGCATGACGTACACCAGCCATTCAGGCTAACGTACACTTAATGTACGCTAATCTTAACGAATGTTCATCAAATTTTGTTATTTAGACCATGAATTGATCTTAGATTGTGGCATGATACTATGTCCCGGCCTCTAATGGGTGAACTAAACTCCCTAATTCTATAACCCAAACCACATGATTCATATAATTTAGGGCTAATACCACTACAACATCCGAACTTTCCGAAAAATGTCACTTGTGTCCTATTGTTTCCAATATTCCATTCGTATCCCATCGTATGATACTTTGGGTCATTTGTATCCAGATATTTTCGTTGACCGTTAAGGATAACAGTTGACTAAACGGTGGTCAAAGTAATTTTGACTTTCGATGACGTGGCAAAAAACTCGACATCCACGTAGATGCCACGTCATTTTGTAATATAAAATTAAATAAAAAATAAAAGAAAATAAAGAAAAAATTGGGAATGATTGAATCTTTGGAGATTTACCCAGATTTTCGTGGGATTTGGATGGAGGGATTTTTTAATTGGGATTCTTTCTCGATCTGGAAATCAGATAAGCATGCCCATTACTTCAACCCAGGAAAACCCCAAATCCCATCACAAACCTTCATCCATGGTGTCTCCCATTTTTGCTTCTCCCATCGATGATGACCACCTTCGACCCTCTCTGCCAAAAGAAGCTACGACAGATACGAAGAAAAATAAAACAGATCCGGTCTCATAGTTGTTGTCGCCGCTTCACCTTGCCGCCATCATGTCTTTGTATCCTCCTCCGGGCGGCACTACTACCGTCGCGTTCACCATAGGCCACTGATTCCTCAAGCTTCCCCTAGTTCGAAACATTTGACGAATCAGGATTTCAACTCCAGATCTACCTTTCCTTTCCAAGCAAGTTCGTCTCCAGCTTTGTGCCACCGCTTGGCTCCAATTGCAACGTAGGAGATGAGTGTGATGGCGGCAAAGACGGTGACGATGGCAACTGCTTTAGGGTTTCATCGCTAACTAAATCGGAGGCCAGACGCCACTTCTGTCTCCGGTCGGCCATGTTGACTAGATCTGGACTTCTTTTCCTTCTGTGTTTCGGTCCGAAGGTAGATCTGGATTCTCTTTTGATTTTGTCGCCATTCTCTTCTTCGTTTTGATTTCCGACAACCAAGCCCTTGTTACCACAGTTAATTAGATCTCCATTTGGGGTGCGTTAACGACTTTCGATCTAAAGGGGCTCTTCGAAGGCAACATGGATGGATTGATTTCGATTTTTTTTCTTTGTTGTTCGCCAGATATGGAGCTCGGGCTTGAGTTTTAGCTCCCTGCTCCTGGTCCAGTCGGTGGTAGCTGCGGGGAATAGAAATGGATTGGTAGCTCCGTCGCTGTAGGGAATAGAAATGGAATCCACAAGTGAAAAGAAGGGACTGAAATGCAGCAATGAATCATGGAGATTATTTTGAAATATTAATTACAAATTTTTTCTTTATTTTAATTATTTTAGATGGAAAAATAAATGAAAATTCCACGTCAGATGTCACGTCAACGCTGACAGGATTTTCTATTAAATACTAACGGTCAACGCCGGTCAACACTAACGGAATAATAGTTCAGGACACAGATGGAATATTGGAAACAATAGGACACAAGTGGCATTTTCCAGATAGTTCGGGTGTTGTAGTGGTATTAGCCATATAATCTAACAATATTAACCGACAATCAATGGTTCTAATTCGTTGAAATCTAGTGCATATAGTAAATGTGAACGCAGACATATATCACTAGCCTTTACCATATATATGGTTCAATCTAGCATACACATGACGTATGCTAACCTTACCTACCGTTCCTCCATCACAGTTGAAAAAATTGGTTGCGATTACTGTTCATTTCACTGGCAATCACCAATTTGGTAGTGCTTAAATTTCACAAATCAGATATAGCAACCAATTATACTACCTACAAGAATATTTGGCTTTAGAAACATAGTTCATTTGCCTCAAAATGACATTTATTTATCTCTATATATTTTTCTTGAAGCAAATATATTATTCATGTCATACTTCTCTGTCTCTAATTCCTTTTATAGGCAAATTTAGTATCAAATAATAGGGTATGCCTACTATGACATGCATGTCACCGTGACATGGACCTTTCGGTCGACCTAATTCGAAGGCGGTCGACCGAATTGACTAATTTGGGCAGCACGAGAAAGCATTGCGGCCGACCTCAACGACCACATGACCGACCGCACTTAGTTTAAGTTTTTATTTTTGGTCGACCTGAATAAAACCTCGGTCGGCCATTTCGTTGGCTTCAGAAACAACATGGTCGACCGTAAAGGTATATAGGTCGACCACTTGATGGCAGTCATTAACAAAATGGTCGACCAGATAAGGAAAAAGGTAGACCAGATAGAAGATAAGTGTTCCATCAATGTGTCCAATCATTTGACGTAAAATGAAGATCAAGTGTTGGTTTCAAGGTCGACCTAATCCGGTACGAGGTCGACCGAATACAAGAAAGTCAACCTATGCTTCGTGTCTTTTTTTCTTATGTATGTCGATTTGTGTGGTTCTTTTGCTCGTATAAATTATGTTTCAAACCATCATAAATAGTCATAAATAATGATAACAAGGACTCATCAATTCATAGAATAACAACTAAACAAACTAACAAGAAATACAATAAAACAGAAATCATAATTGTTCACACATTAAAAAAAAACTAAAACAACAAAATAACAATCAACAATCGTTTTGACCACTTAACAATAAAAACACACAATCTAAAATCTTTGAGTTCCTACTCATGTCCCCTCTCTCCCTCATTCACATTTTCTTCATTGGTGGTACTAGCATGATGGTGGTCGGATGTGGTGGGATGCATGTATCTTCCGCTGAAAGATCGCCACTCATCTCGCATCTCATTCACGGTCACCTGCATTGTGCTCATCTGGGCGGTCATTTGCCCCATGTAGTCGTACATGCCAGTCATCTGGCTGGACATCTGGCCCATGTACTCGTACATGCCATCCATGCGCTCCCAAACACGCTCTAAGGCGATCGGTGGAGTTCAACTCTGTGCCTACGGCATTGGCTCGTCTCCGGCTCGGAACCTCACATACATGAATTAGTCAATTCGGTCGACCGCCTTTTGGATTAGGTCGACCGAAAAGTCCATGTCACCGTAGCAAAATCCCAAATAATATTGTTGCTAATTAAGAAATTCAAAGAAGATATATTTGAAGGAAATTCTACTTTTAAAATTAAAGCCCGTTTTCCAGTTCTTATTTATCTTTAGAGGGAGATGCATTTGTTTATAATTTTAATTTTTGAGACAATTATATTTCATTATATATATATATATATGGGTTAGACTGCCGTACGTCAGACGTATATATATATATATATATATATTTAGAGGGAGATGCATTTGTTTATAATTTTAATTTTTGAGATAATTATATTTCATTCTATGGATATATATATATATATATATATATGTCTCTAAAGAATATATTTTGAGGCAAATAATTGTATATGTATTTTAACTTAGATACAAATAATCTGCTTTGTTGTGAGAGTTAAAAGCACGTATAATTTTATATGGATTGATCACTTGTTTCTTGTTTTCTTTATTATTTCTCTTCACGACTTTGGAGGATGCCAATGCGATCGTAGTAGTGTCTCGATTGCCTATCCCGTCTACATCTGCGTAGTGGACATGAGACGCAAGTAGATTTTGATGAGTCCCCTACGACGTAAGCTGAAGAAGCCACGATGACAAAAAGGAGAGTAAATGTCAAAGATATGGAGTTGGAATTATGTAGCTTGTTTAAAGCAGGGCAAACTTTCAAGAAAAACAAAGCTATGAATACTGGGATATTGAACCTATTATATTAACAATAAGAAGCATCAGGATAAAAGAATAACCAAGGGAGCATAGGAGGTGGTTTCGATGACCGTGAATGAACACGATATAACGAATTGCTTGAGCTTACCATCCTTCTTATAGAGAGATGTTATGATAGAAACCCAATTCTCGGGTTATATCATAATTATCCTTAGATATGGTTAGTAGTCTTTGAGTCATATTAGGACAGTCTATTAGGTTTTTCCGGTCTTTCGCTATAAATATGTATTCTTTTTCTTTTGTTCAATTAAGTAGAAATCAACAGAAGAACTATCTTCCCAAACCCTAAGTTCTCTCTCTCTCTCCTAATTTCCTTTCCCTTCTTCCCAAATCCAATGATTTGGCTGATTCTTATTCTTTTCTTCTTCTTCCCCAAGTCCTTAATCTCAATCCCGAAATCTATCCCCAAATCCTTAAATTTTCAATCATTCAACACTATCGATAGAACCCTAGAAATATGTTTCTATCATTTGGTATCAGAGCCCCGTTTTGAGAACGAATTCTTCACAAATCTCAACTAGGGACGACTTCATCTTAATTCAAAGCCAGAATGAGTTCGTCAAAGCTCTTTGATCCCGAATGGTTTCGATTGCAGGAGCTGCGGCATGACACCCTTGGTCGACGATACTGGGAGGCGTGGAGGAGTGTTGCGTCGATGGAGGAGATTAAATGAACCTTAAACTCGACGTGGAAAAACAAGCCACCAGCCACCTCCTCTTCGGCTTCACCACCAAAACTGCTTGCAGCGATTGAACAATTATCCCGGGTGTAGCAGTAGAGCAAGGAGGCTCCTGTTGCGGTAGTAACCAAAGAAGAAGGAGATCTCTCCTCTTTCGTCAATGAGAGCTCCATCGCCCCTGGAGAAGAAACCCAGGCTGATGATTCTGAGAGGAGGTCGACGCCGGGGCGAATGGCGAACTGGAGATTCAGGAAGAAGGAGCCCGGCGAAAGAGGGCGAGGAGCCGCTACATCACCATCTCCTACCTGCGACTGACGACATGAAGCGAGGACGATGTCGCCCCGCTGGCTTGAGGCGCCAGAGCGTCAAATCGCACACAGAACGCGACTAATGGTGGCGATTCCCATTCCACCATTGAATGCTTGTCTGGGGAAGGCTCACCGACGAATGCAAGTGGGACTTTCGGCCGTATGCTGGCCTGTTCGTTGCTGAAGAAGAAGGGTCCGTTGGAACTGAGATCTACAAATACCCCACCCGCGGCGATGACAGACGGGAAGGTGGAGCTGAAGGCAACGGCGAAGTGGGGCTCGCCTCGTCGGCATCAAATGAAGAAGGCCTCGAGCGCGAAGCGGGTGTAGATCGCACCGACGGGAAAAGAGAAGAAGAAGGAAAGGGAGACAGGTGCTCGGGAGCCCCGGATTGCTCGAGAAGCGCGAAGGTGGGCGGTGGCTCCTATCGCGTCGTTGACGGGAGGGAGGAGTTGCGACAAAGAAAGGCTTCGGGAGGGAGGTGGAAGCCGGCTCTACCAAGGGCGACGTTGACTAACGTGGTGCTACTAGAGGTGGCGACGAGAAGAGGCGGAGCAGAACCAAGGGAGGGAAGGCATATGAGCTCCAACCGGGGATCTTTGTCGAAGTCGCGAAACAAGCTGGCGGCAAGACTAGAGGTGACGATTCCATGGACGGCGGTGACTAAAGGAAATGTGGCGTCTTCGATTGGGGAGACGAAATCGAAGACTAGGGCGGAGTCAGGCTTGCACTCGTGTCGCCTGGTGCGCCGCTCACTGTCGGTAATGAAGTCGGAAATGGAGCTGACGGCGACGGCAGGGGAGGAGATCGGTGGCCCTCTGCCCGACAACCCTAGTAGGTCGTCGCCTCCCGCCATGCAGCTGCAACAGCAACGGGAGCATGACTTGTTGGGCCAAGCCATTTGGGACGTTTCTCCTGACGTGGGAAACGAAGTGGACCACTACTACAGTTGGGCTGAGTTTCTTGGATCGCGTGGGCCGCGGGGCCAATTGAAGTTGGTCGTAGAGGCCTTGGGCGCGGGCTGACGAGGGATAAAGAGCTTGCAAGGTTTGACGTGTCCAAGCGGAGAAAACCAAAATAGTGGCCAAGTCCCAGCCGAAGAGGAATCAGGCCAAGTCAATGTCCGACTATGGGCCGAGAGTTGAGGAGAAGAGGGTTGAGAAAGAGCTTGTTCGTGGGCTGAGTCTTCATGCACGAATTGGGCTCAGGGTGGGCTGTTCTTTGAAGAAAATTGAATTGAGTGAAGAAAATGGTGGGTTTAATGAGTTGGCAGGTGGGCTTTTAAGAGAACAGAGTCCAAAAGCAATTAGAGAGACATCAAGACAAGTTTATAGGCTTTCTCCAAGAAATTTTTTTGAAGACCTTGATGAGTTGGTTATTAAGGATAAGTTCTTGTACCAAGAAGTATCTCTGGATTCCTTAATCTCATGGAGGGTTATGCAAAGGGAAGAAGAGTTACCGAAAATGAGATTTCTCGAGGAAGGAAGGATTGGGTCCTCTATCATGGAATCAATAAATTTGGGTCAACTCGAGAAGGCCATAGAAGAAATTCAAGTCAAGTAGTGGAGCATGATTGGAAGAAACGGAAGCGTCAGAAATGGAGAATCCACGACGCGATTTGCACGAGCCACGTGGAGAAGTGGATCAAATTGGTCAACCTTGAGGACAAGGTTGGTCTCAAGGGGGAGGAGGTGATAGAAACCCAATTCTCGGGTTTTATCATAATTATCATTAATAGTAATTATTAGGATTTATTTAGATATGGTTAGTAGTCTTTGAGTCATATTAGGATAGTCTATTAGGTTTTTCCAATCTTTCACTATAAATATGTATTCTGTTTATTTTATTCAATTAAGCAGAAATCAATAGAAGAACTATCTTCTCAAACCCTAAGTTCTCTCTATCTCCTAATTTCTCCTCTTCCCAAATCCAAGGCTTCAGCCGACTCTTATTATTTTCTTCTTTTTCCCCAAGTCCTCAATCTCAATCTTCAATCTATCCCTAAATCCCTAAATTTCCAATCAACCAACACTATCGATAGAACCCTAGAAATATGTTTCTATCATGTTATAGAGAAACATGGCAATTAAGTATTAGATCAAGTTTGAGTATAAGGGAGACCAAGTAAGCAAGGAAATGAGTTCTCTTCGGTTGACTAGATGTTAGCGTCCTTATTTAGTTATATAATGTAGCTAAATGTTTATTTATGTGTTGGTGTTAAATCTTGGCAAATTGAGTTAATTTTTTATACTTGTGAATTAGTTATATAATTTAGTTTTTTTGGATCTCTGTTTCAGTTGGGGCATACATTATTAGGGGTGAAGTGCTTGCAGTTGATGCAGCAATTACCATATATTTGGTTAGGCTTTACCATCCCGCTTCCACTAGTAAGCGAATCCTTACAAAGTGCGAATTCTATGAGGTCGCTCTTCACCTTGTTCTAGAACTCGTCATCATTGACTTTCTGCATAAACCATCTTGACGACTCTCTCATGTATTGATTGTGCATAGCAGGTTCCTGATATCACGTGTAGGAGTACCAGTAGTGATGACATTGAAGAAGATCAGGAAGCCAATGCTGGCCATAAGCAAAGTGGGCATGAAATACAAGTAGGTTTTTATGAGCCTCCTACGTCATAAGCATGAAGCAGTCGCGATGCCTCAAAGGGGAGTAATTGTAAGGGAAATCGTGAAACAGGTGAAACAGAGCATGAACCCGATAGCTTGTTTCAAAGTAGTGTGAATTGTCAAGAAAAAACAAATTAAGCTATGACACACTGGGATTGAACCTATTACATTAATAATAAAAAGCATCAAGAATAGCGAAGGGGAGCAGTAGGAGGTGGGTTCGATGATCGTGAACGAACACGAGATGGTGAATTGCTTGAGCTGGATATCTTTTTTATAGAGGGATGTTATGGAAAATGTGGGCAACTAAGTAATTTATCAAGTTTAAGTATAAGTATAAGGGAGATCGAGTAATCAAGAAAATGATTTCTCTTCGGTTGACTGGATGTTAGTTCACTTCATCAACTATTTGCATGAATCACAACAACTAGTCTACTAAATAAAAGAATATATGCAACGAATATGCGAGATGACTAATCTAATTTGTCTCTACAAATGAAATATTTGGTGTTTGTTAGTTTCATATTTGGTTATATAACTTAGTTATATGTTGATTGTTTATGTATTAGGGTTAAATTTGGTTAAATTGAGTTGATTTTTATTTAGTTGTGAATTTAGTTAGTTAAATGTTGATTATTTATGTATTAGGGTTAAATGTGGGCACATTGAGTTGATTTTTATTTAGTTGTGAATTTAGTAAATGATGATTCGTTATTTAACTAAACTTTAGTTAATTTTTCTATATATATAATTTAGATAGAAAGAGGATAATTTCTGTAATAGTGTTAAATCTTGATAAATTAATTTAATTTTTTTTGTGAACTTAGATATATAGTTTAGATTAATAGTTAAATGCAGCGTTTATTGAAAGGGGTCATTAGAATACTCAATGATCAATTACTTTTGAGAAGTTATTTTTGAGAATACTACGAGAAAATATAATTATATTTTTATTTGAAAATAGATAACCTTATTTTTTTCTGATATATAATATAACCTCGTTTCATTCAAACAATGTATACCGAATCGTACCCTAGCTAACATTATATGATACCTTTAATTTGGATGTTCTAATTGTATTGTTTTATAGGGCTTGCTGAGGAAGGAGAGTGCCAATGTATTTATAGCAAATTTGACTAATTATATCTTTAATTTGGATCTTCTAGTTGTATTGGTTTAATGGTTTATAGGACTTATGAGGAAGGAGAGTGCCGACGTATTTATAAAAAAATTTAATAATGCAATAATTTTGATTAATAAAAAATAATATTAATTTTTTCTGACTAATAATTAGTATTTACTCTAATTTTATAATATATGGATAGATAAATAGACAAACAAAAATGTCAAATGTGAAAGTGGGAAAAGAAGAGAAGCAAGCGGCCCTGTGGCGGCGTCGTATTAGGTGAGAGGTGTACTGTTGCTATTTTCTTTTTATTTCAAAAAGAGAATCTTCTGCAACTTTTTTCCCTCCTCCCTCTCTCTCTCCCTCACCCCCTTACTCGCTGTTCTTTCCCCTTTCCGCCGACCAAAAATCCTGTATTTCTCCTCCGCCAAGCCAATCAATCAATCAATCGGCGGTTTAGTCTTTCCACAAATGCAAGACTTTATCGGATCGGTCAGGCGGTCGCTCGTCTTCCGCCCCGACACAGAGAGCAGCAGCACTACGGCGGAACTCAACAGCGGCGGCAGCCCTCCATTAACGGGGACTCGCCCATTGGTCGACAAGATCAATTCATGCATTCGGAAGTCTAGAATCTTCGCCAAACCTTTGTCTTCCCCTCCGCTTCCAATGGCCCCTCCGATCCGGTACCGGAAAGGGGAGCTGATCGGGTGCGGCGCGTTTGGTCAGGTCTATATGGGCATGAATCTTGATTCCGGAGAGCTTTTGGCTATCAAGCAGGTAAATTTGGACAATTTAAGTTATGGGTTTGGCTCGGATGGGATTTTCATTTCTTGGTCCCCTGGGGGGTTCTTGGTGGTTATTGATCCGAAGCTTAGAATGTGGGTTTTGGGTAATATTATCTTTCGTGAATTTGATTGCAATTCTGCACTTCCTACGTTGTTTGCTGGAAACTAACAGCGCAATTTGTGGATGTTTCCTACTTGGGGTTTCAGTTTCCATTGCAGCTTCATAGGGTTTTAAGGGAGTTTTATGCTGTATTGTTAGATTCATTATTAAGTTGCTTGTTATTTGGAATGAGAATAGTCATTTCCCCAAGTTACATATTTGTATATTTTTCAGCTCGATTCTGAACTCTGTTTGTTTCTTTATTTTGTTCAAGGTTCTGATTGCAGCCAATGGTGCTTCCAAGGAGAGAGCACAGGTAACATCTTTTATTGGATTCATAGGACCAATAGTGAGGCAGTAGTTTGTTAGTGAAACACTATTCGGGTTTTAGGATTGTTGATCGATTGTTTTATGTAGGCTCATGTCAAAGATCTTGAGGAAGAAGTGAAGCTTCTGAAGAATCTTTCACATACCAACATCGTGGTTAGTAGCGAGAAATCATTTCAACTTGGATGTACTTTCATTAACGAAACACAGTTTTCGACTTAGCGTCTGTCTAAACCTCTATGATCCTCAGAGATACCTCGGCACAGTTAGGGAGGAGGAATCATTGAACATTTTGCTTGAATTTGTTCCTGGTGGATCTATATCCTCACTTTTAGGAAAATTTGGACCTTTTCCTGAAGCGGTAAGTAAGTTTTCTTCACTTCTTCCTTGCCTTAAATTTTACCGGCTCATGCTAAACTGCCGGCATGCCACTTATCAGGTTATCAGAACATATACCGAGCAATTGTTGCTGGGATTGGAGTACTTGCACAGTAATGGCATCATGCATAGAGACATTAAGGTGCTTGTTTAACTCACTGACTTTTCCTGCATGCTAGAAAACTCCTTCAACTTTTGTAGGTTGTGCTTACAAGTTATAATGTTTGCTGTCCTTTGTTTGTGCTTTTAGGGAGCAAATATACTTGTAGATAATAAAGGATGCATTAAACTTGCGGATTTTGGTGCATCGAAGCAGGTAGTTGAGCTGGTATGAGTCTTGATCTTCAGAAAGTGGTATTTTGCTTCTTCATGATTCTGCAGAATTTTCCCACACAGAGAGTTCTGCTGTTTCTGTTTCTGATTGAGATGCCGTTTCCTTAGGCCACAATTTCAGGGGCGAAGTCAATGAAGGGTACACCATACTGGATGGCGCCTGAAGTCATTCGTCAGACAGGGCATAGCTTGTATGTTCAAGAAATCAGATCCTTTTAAGTGATAATTTTGATTATTCTACTTGGGGAACAAACTCAATGGAATGAAAAATAGAAAGATTGAAATTGAACTAGACAAGAATAGTTATTAGATCCTTCAATCGACCATCTATACTTAATGAATGGTAAGGTTAGTATTACTGTACTGAGCCTCA